TACGGTCGGCGATGCTGTGGAAAGAGAGGCAGATCCCGTGTCCTGGAGATTCATGAAACGGAGGGGGGAACAAGACGGTTACATTTCCCACGGGAGACAGTATTCTCCTTTCATTTTCAGACTTATTTCCATCCAGGATAGAAAGAACCGAGGTCCTCGCAGATGGTCCTGAGTAGGTAGGAAGGGTCCACGGGGATTGCGGGCTCGCTGCCATCATCCGTTCTGCGACGCGAAAATCAATCTCAACAGCTTCCGGGTATCAATCTCGCATCACACCTGAAGCGCGCACGGACCGCCTCTTCGGAAGCCAGCCTTCGTCTCGCCCCCGGATTTTATCCTTTCCCCGTCTTGGAAATCGCTAGCAGCCCGTCTCGAGAGAAAATATATACCGCGGACGAGAAGACAAGCGAAGCCTGTCGGAGGCTAGAACGCACGTCTGGGGAAACGACGTATCGACGCGGCTGTACGAATCGCTTCTTGTTCGGGAAATGCTGACGGGAACGAGCTCTGCTCAGGACTTTCGATGTATCTATTAGAATTTTTATTATTCAGAAAGCACAAGGTGGTTCCCAAGCATGTGCCAGTGTCGGTTTGACAGAACGTACTTGGCTTTTGAACCAAGCACGTGAGGAACAGAGATGGTTAACGTACTTCTGCAGTTTAACCAGTCTATTGTCTTAGAGTCCTTATGTATTTATGAGGTTGTCCCAAAAGTTTCTTTCGCTTTATTAATAAGTAATACATGGATAATAGTTTATGTTTTATGTTACATTACTGAATTGTGCACGATTCATTTTGCACCATTACTGTTACCAACACGAATATTTATGAAATTAGATTGTCTATTTATATAAACACGACCACATAAAATAATTGAGTGCAACTTCCGAAAGAAACTTCCGGGACAACCTAATATAACAACACATTATAGCTGGATTCCTTGAGCGTTATTAGTGGATTTCTTTGATATCGTTACTGACACCTTTGTATAAATAAATAATGAATCACTTAGACGTCCATTACGAGGCACTTCAGTTTCTCCGATTTAATCTTTTAAAGCTATTAAAAAATTGCTATCCCCAGAGCCTGAGGCATTCAACTTGCCAAATAAAAAGCTCATGATAGTATCAACAGTCGGTTTGTATCGTTTTAGTGGTCAGCATCTACTGCATTATTTCCTACATCAGCGTTGCTCCTTCAGTTTGCATAACTCAACACATATCGAAGTCGATATCCAAACAGTTCACTTTTGCCACATCCTTGATAATTTTGAACATTTAGTCCGAGCAGGCTTCGAGCTGGAATCCATGTCAAATCCGTTGTCGACGCAAAATGGTTCCTTGGTGGTCTACATACGCTCAGGGTTTACAATGCGAAAAGTCACAGGGTTCTGCCATGCTTAAAGTACTACAAATGATTTCCTCGTTTCTCTGCTGATTCGATCTCCGTCCACTTCCGCGGGATACAATCGATCTCTTTGCGTTCTCGAGTTCATGGTACAGAGAGGTCATTGACAAGAGAAATCTGTGAAAGGTTCGCTTTTTGAACTCGGGGCGAACATTTGTGCTGGAGGGGGAATCAGTTTTCCGGCTCGGGGACGCCTAACCTCTCGGAGCATTCGTGCTCAATCGCTGCGACCCCGATGTCCCTCGGGCATCTTCTTTAACTTGTCCTTATCGCGGGATGAGATCTATTCAACGACGAAGGACGTCGATCCTTTATTCCAGCGCGCATGAACTCCGTACGAATATGTGCGCGGCAAATGCCTTTGGAGAGCCTTGAATATCAGCCGAAATCGTGGATTATTAATGGTGTTTAATTATCAATTATGTTCAGATTGCCATCTACGGTCATTTTTTACCGATGGGGAGGACTATCTTTAGTCGTGGATGAGTAAATCAATTGCAATAGTTGCAATATTGGAAACATTTTCATCATAAATTGCAACAGAAACGTAGTCAATAATCCAGCAATTTAGAAAAGAAGCCCGTTAGTTGTATTATATGTCCAATTGATGGACATTGTATGAACAATTTATTGTAGACAAGCAACAGCCTCCATTTATCCATACACACTGTGTCTTATAAACGTAACACTGCACCTCTCTACGACATTAATTTCAAATTATGCTTGTGGCGTTACTTGGAAGCAATTTTACAAATAACACCTTTCTTCCTTTTCTTCTAGAATTCAGTGCTTCCTCGCGCAATAATTAGAACTTGACACTTGATTCTTCGTCGAGCAATATTCAATTCACAGGCGTATTACGCACGCATGAGGGGCGTTTTTGTCGAGCGCAGTTTAAAATTAACGGGCCGTACGTTGACGAGCTGGTTTCGCGGTTAAATGAATAGCATTGGTGGTCCTGGCGTTGACGGTGACCGCCGTCCGGAGGTGCGTGCAATTACCAATTATAATTGCGCGACGACTAATTGGTAAACAGTAGTAATAACAAGGAACGTCCATCGATCACTAGCCTGGGGGGACCGACCGCGTCGATCGTAATGTATGGCACCTCGACGAATCACAGTCGAACGACATTCATTTGTTGGATGAATGATCCCTGCCTGCAGTGACACGTTGCCTCGCAATCCATCTACCTTTGTCGCTTTTATTTTCCACACGTACGCCTCGTTATCGTTGCTGCTGCGATCGAACCGCTTGAAATGTTTTTCGAAATGGATCTTCGAAGCAAGCTGATGGATTTTCCAGAGGCAAGTGAGCATTCTCTTATTAACTGTTCTGATAAGTGTTCTAGGTAACTGTGCACTATTTTCCTGAGGATAGATCCTCCAATTAATAAATAAATTAAATATAAACCTTGAAGTCGAGTATATAATCCAAACGACACAGCACTACCATTTTATGCCTTCTAGACCTAACTAATAAGTCCATTCATTCATCCATTAAGCTCTCGCACTGCTTCGGCACCATCAAAGTTTTATCCAAAAGATAACAATAAAGTTATCCAACATCTCTAATCACGGCTGGTGAATGTCTGAATTAAATCAGCAAAGTATCCGTTGTCCGTTATGAAGCCGTACTTGAAACGTAACGTTCCTTAATAATATCCGAGGCAGAGAGCTGTTACTAAGAAAATAATGGCCAGTAGACGTCTCGTCATAACAGCGGACGTTTTAATTACGGAGAAGAATAAGATACTCCGACCTCTTCTTTCTTGTTCCAACGATGGAACGAACATAAATCAAGGAACTTCGCAACGCGTTCAAACCCTTAACGTAAGCGTTGTAATACAACCATCGTCATTAGCCACAACACGAACACTATGAGATTATGCATCTCATTCTCTTGGAATACTTTGCTTGAACAGATCGAGTTCTAAGCAAACAGTTGCATAATTACTAGCCAAAGAAATCTTTCAGGTTTCGAGACTGGAAATTCCTCGGAAAAACAATTCAAACTGTAACCGACATTACTGCAAATTGAACTGTCGTTGGGGTTAATCGAACGAGAATCTCGCCAACGTTTCAATGCAAACAGCGCATCGTTTTTAGCCTCGATAATTGCTTCGATATTCCGTCAACGTCGAGCGGAGACAACGGACACTTTTATCCCTGGCGCGCCTCTATAAGACTCTGGATTTATATCCAATCCTCCGCGAGATTGAAGAAACCGTTTCTCGAGTGAAAATATATACTCGCGTCCTGATGAATTTCAATGTTTACAGAACTGACCAGCGAGATTTGCGTCGCGTGTCAAATGTAAAAAAACGTACGAATTCAAATAATGCTCAATATTCTCTCAAGTCCGCGGTTCAAACATTTTTCCGTTTTTTTTTCTCCTATTTAGAAATGACCATCGCGTATATCCAAGGACGATTGATATTCGGGATTTTTAAGCAAGCAGAGAGCTTGGCAAGGAGCGAAGAGGACCATCGGAAGGGGCATTGAAATTGGAATTCGCGCGAACGCGAGAAATTCGTGTCGTAGCCAAGCGTATGCAAATCCACGACATACGTCATCAATATGCATCCAGGGAGCTGAATATTCCACGAACAAAACGGTTCTCACGGCAATTTCCGACAATGCGCTCGCCGGGATCATGGGGCCTTAGCAAGCTCGAAAGTTGGCATATTTTATGCCCTTACTATTAGCTTGAGTAATAAGCTCGCTCGTATTTCTTTAGTCCGCACCATATTGTTCTGTTAGATTGCGCCATTTGCGAGGTAATTCTTGTTTTGTCACTTGGGAAACTTTGCGTTTTTGTTAGTAAAATAATCCCCAGACATTCTTGGTCCTCTGTTTTGTTGGAATCGGTTTGTATTAAGAAACTTTTCTGGTCTTCTAAATGTACATACCGCCATTTCTGTTCCTTACCAGCTAACACACTCTGCTTTCTTTAAACCATAATTTCAGATTCTATCTAATATGGCGCTATTCAAGCCGAGATTAAAATGGCAGACCAGTGGAAATTAATCCAGCATCGCGGGCAAATTGAAACAATGCGCGCTGCTACCGCAGTGTCCGCAGTTTCGCATTACAGAAATCTTCAACATCGATCATACTGGTATCGTGGAACAAGCTTCAGAGCCCGTATGTGGCTCAAAGGCACGTGAATCAGTAAGGAATGCGTCAAAAGCCCGCAACGGTTCAGCGGTCCCTCGGTGGTCGCGCATTATAGATGGCGCGCTATAGTCGTGCATTCAACGGCGAATTAAATTCTGCTCGCCTCACGAATTTACTCTTCTGTGGTCCATCTGCATCGGACACTTCTCTTCCATAGAAATTAGGATGCTTAGATAAGTTACATTTGCGGATGAAGGTGATTTTAGATGATTACACTGGTGGACATAATTATAAGACACCCCGAAAAATATTGGTTTAGGTACTTAATAATGTAGTTATATTAAAATACACTTCGTCAAAAGAAAATGGTTTATTTTCTAATAACAACTTCATAAATTTTGCGAAAAATGATCAAACATTTCTAATTTATTCAAAAATAATACAATTTCGATTGGACATAATTCTAAGACACTGCTGAAAAGAAAAAGAGAATGTACAAAAGTTCTGAAAATTTATACACTATATACTGTTTATACACTTTATATACTATAAGCCTCTTAAAGGTTCACCATCAGTTGCAATCCAAAATGTCGTCCGGCTGTAACTCGGTCCTCGTGTCTATTGTAACTAGGAACCCGAAGCTTTATTATTGTTTGCCAATAGTAATATCGCTTTAAATTAACGAACGACCATTCGATTTCGATCTAGCGAATGAATAGCCATGGAATAACAATATTTCTATTAAATTCTCAAAGCATATACAATCAATTGTATGCACGGACAAATAATGCAGTCGGTTCATGAACCGAATTATATTTCTGCAGAATAATAACCGTCTGCCACGTTTAAATGAAGTGTCAATTAAATTCCATTAATTAAGAATATCCTCGGTCGTTTAAATAACGTAGCAGCACACGTATTCCACAGGTTGCGCCCGAAATTGCATCCCGATACCAGGGATCCCATATTCCAAAGTTTCAGGAACGATCCAATGTCAGACGTCGATAGCGCAAACTTAATTAGGAGAGTCGTAAGCAGCGTGCAGTTGCAGCTTCCTCGTGTCATGTGGAAAGTTTGCGCGCCATAAGAGCAACGTGGATATCGCTGCTACGAAGAAACATCTGTTATTGGGAAACAATCGCCATCCGCTCTTCATGGTCTAATAAAATTATCGCTTCGAATTGGCCGCAAAATGTGCATTACGTTGATGCACACAGTCGATACTCGAGTGCGCGCGATAACACTGCAGGGGCGCTAAATATTGCCGGATTATTGCGTGCAATATTTCATTCGCGCCACACATGCTGGAGATATTCGAGCCCGCAATGCCGCGCCAAAAATTCTTCTTTTGTTTCGGATTTTGTGTGGGATTTATCGATAGTTTCAACACGTTCCAGGTAATTTCAGCTGTTGAAATACCTGGTGGTGTATTGGGAAAACCATGTTCGAACCATGTTCAGTCTTCTTTGTAATCCCACCATTCTCGAAGAGAACACACTGCTTCTCATATTTATTACTTCTTCAAACGATGTCCTCGGGTCTCTAATAGTCGATACGGGGACTTTGACTCGCTAGCTATCATGCGCTGTTTAGCCATGTATTCCAACATCAAAGCCTCGTTCGGCTCTATCAAGGGTTTGATGGTGCCTCATGATTGTCATACGTTCTAGAGAATCCCTGTCATGGATTATTGATCAACAATTACAGGGTGAAATCAGCCGAATAATGCGTTACAGAATGAAGGTATGAATGGTTTCGAGATTAGAGTTCGTTATTATTTTAATTGGTTTCCTCTGCTTCCTGGCGAGTAGTATTACAACCATAATATTCTTCAACAATTGATCCACAAAGCGAAAGTTCCAAAAATGAGTTGAGAAACTCGGCTGCACACACTGCACATTACATTCATACTTTAGTCACTATTTTGTTTTCCTCATCACACAGTCATGAACAACGTAATTTGCAAATCTTTTTTTATTAAAAAACATGGCAAGACAGTAGAAAAATTGTATAAAAATAGCGAAGATTCAAGTAAACGGACGTGATCCTCAGGCTCCTCCTACATGACGGTGACGATTCTCAGACGAGCCGCTTTACGTGATCCGTTTTCTTTCGGGAACTCTTGATGAAACCGAGGAACTCCAGCTCGGCGACCGCTTGAGTAAAACGGGCTCTAAATCTCCGTTAAGGATACCTTGGCGCGCGATAAAATTCGCACGGGAACACGTGTGAATTATTCAAACAAGAGGTATGCAGCGCGCGCGAGTTATCTGCACGAGGCTACGATTTCGCCATTACGAGCTCTGATATGAATTTCAAACACCCGGTGGTTAGACAAATCTTTACGCGCTCCATTACCAGCCAAGCATTCGAACGAGCCCTTAAATGAAAAAGGATACTGCAGTTTGGGATCCACATCACGCTGCTCCTTCGCCTCGCCCACGGGATTCACGATGATCAAGAACGCCTGCGAACGTGTGCTCGGATCAATCGCTGAGAATTCCAGGATAGGAAGTTCTCTTTACATGGAAAACATTCTTCAGGGAATACGAAACTAGTTAAGGGTATTAAACTATGAATGTAAAGGATCTGGAGTATGTGCTGTTGCATATACGTGGTAACTTGAGTAACATATTTGACGTGGCCTGTATTTTTGGTACCCTCGAGGGTATTCGAGGTTTCAAACACTGTGTGACGACATGATCGTCTGATCGGGATAACTCGTCACCTAGATTCACCTAAATACAACTATCTCCATCTACATTTTACTAGGACCACCTAGCTCTACGTACATATATCCACAACTCTGCAAACCTGATCTGCAGTCCAACATCCCCTGTAAAATTCATCACTATCCTCCAAACAAACATACCTAACACATCACCACCTAAGTAACCACCAGGCCACGTTTTCGGAATCTCAGTCAACCAAAAATCCCCGTTTCCCATCGCCCAGCGGTTCGTTGCACTTGACCGATGCACTCTCGAGCATCTAACAACCGAGCGCGATAAAACAATCCACACCCCTGCCAGGTAGTCCATTAACAATGTCGTGCTCGCATGAATCAACGGCCGATTAAAGTCACGAGACGAACGAGCGCCAGGTGCGTGACCGTAAGTGTAACCTGAATTAACCTGTAAACATGAGCACGAGCGGATTGTTACCTGCAGCCAGTCGTACATATTGATCAACTTTCTGGATTCCAAGTGCAGCTTGTAAATTATACTGAGGTCGGGCAGCGTGGATGGAATGGCTTCGTCGTTCTCCAATTTGCAGCACCCGCACTGAAATATGCATTTCCAATTAACTTCGACGCCCGCGACGACGCCGCCTAGACATCGTTTTCCATTACGGGGGAAGCCCGTAATCGATATCCACGATGTATCAGTGTTGCAGAAAGAGTCAGAGATCGTTAAGAAACGACCAGAAGATCAGGAGCTTGTGAAAGTTGGGAATTTGATTTTATAAAATTGCGAATTCTTACGTTCAAATACACTTGTGGATCGTTCAGGCCCATGTGCACTGCAGCCCTCAAAGATCCACGAATGTGTTGCCGGGCTAGACTGCCGTCACTGAAGCAGAATATCTCGTGCGCTGGGATGCGATTCGGATTCGCCAGGTAAACGGAAAAGACACTTCGATCCAGGAAATCAATCGCATCTAACTGAGCCTGTTTGTAAGGCGACCTACTGTGCGTTTGGGACATTTTCAGCAATTTCTGCAGCGAAACGAAAGGTGTTATACTCCAGGATCTACCTCTTTGGGTATTCCAAAATAGTGAATCTCGTTTCTGACCTCTTTCAGTTGGAGTCGATTGAGTCTCTCACCGCTAGAAATGATCTCTGTCGGCGCGACTGCTTCTTCTAAGCTAGCACTTTCAATCTTTTTTATATGACTCTGGAGATTTACTTTTACGTCTTGTATACCTAAGTCTGGGAACTCGTTCATGATCGAAAGAATGGAATTCAAGTGTGAGAGGAGCTGTTGTCTTGATAGAAAGCTTAAGAGTTGCAGGCAATCTTTGTACTCGTTGCAATCTCTCAGATCGTTTACGCAAACTAGTTTGCTGTAGAATTCGCGTAGCTGTTTGCCCATGGGTGCATTTGGCAATGCTGACATGAGATCGTGTAGACACCTCAGTATTCTCATAAATCTATACGCGTATCTGTGAAATTGCTTCAGCAGTTTGAATAATAATTCCTACAACAAATTTACTTCTGTGATTGTTGAACAATGAACCATACGGTTCGCACTCTCGTTGGTAAATTAAATGTACCTTAAACTCCTCGTTTTTAAGTGATTCGTTTGTGTCTCTGTCTCTCTGAAATTGTTTGATGTATTTTACTACAGAAGGGAGTTTTTTAATTTCCTCTATATCTTCATCGGTTAAGGCAGACATCCTAGCCTTTGCATGTTTCAAATCACAGCAGAGAGAATTTATATTGTTTCCATAGAAATGTTGTATCATACATATCTAAAAATTTGTGAGGATGAAAGGTCATCCTATTCATATCTTGTAATGATCTCTAAATGTACAAGATTTAAATATCAGGCAAAATGAATACCTTGTAACTTTGCAAGAAGTTCTCAACCGAAAAATCATAAAATAAAAACATGTCTGTTAATAACTGAAATGCTCGTCCAGTCAACATAAAGGGTATTTTTGGAGAAAAAATAATATTTTCTAATATGTCAGACAGAATGTTGATCTGTGTTTTTATGTGAAATACCTGAACAAAAGATAATTGTGCACTCAAAAAAAAGTCTCTAAGTATTATTAGTTTTATAAGTAATTAAACTGGTAACATTCATTACTTGCACATTTAGTTTTGATGTAACATCGTATGTTAAAGATCTGTGTACAGCGTGCAAAGTAGTAGCAACACCAAATATAACGACAAACTTTATTGAACTTGAATAAGAACTGAAAGAAACGAGATACTATAAAAGTAAATGTATCACGATGCATTACATGAGAAGATTACAGTACCTCAATATTAAAATAAAGTCACGTAATACAGCAGGTAAAAAACTTTCAAAATCACTTATGATTATGATAAGAGGATCATCCGATTGGCAATGGTTCTGGTACCAATATTTCAAAGCTCTCATGTTACACTGACTTTTTTTAACCTGCTCATTTTCATCCTACAAATAATTTTACAGTGAATAACAATTACTTTTTCTACAACCTAATTATTACTTAAATAACTGACCATGTTTTCATGATTTATCAATTGAAAAATTGTTTCTTCTAAAATACTTTTCAAGTTATTTGAATCTCTACTCCATATAACTGCTGTGTGTTTTGTTATTGGTTCCAACTTAGAAATTATACTTGTAAACATTATGGCATGATCAGGAACATTAATTCCTACAGTAGAATTGTTATCAAAAGAGACGACAAAAAAGGACATATTTCTCTAAAGGTCAGCATCACCTGTTAACACAATAGCTGTCTGTATTTCATTTCCAAGACTTTCTATCGATTTCTCCTTAAAATTGAAAACAAAATGTTCTATGCCGTCCAAAATTTGTTGGAATATAGTGGATCTTATATTCTGAAATTTCAGTATAACTAATAGATGGTACAAGATATGATATTCGCTTGTTCGCACAGCATTATTTAACACAGAAGCAGTACCTCTATAGCATTCTGAATTGTTGTCCACGTCTCTTCATAAGAGAGATACCATGGTTCGGTCAAATAATCTGGTGCCACAAATTTCGTATTTTTATCACCAATTTTGTAACCGCCTTTGTGAACAAATACACCCTAGAAGACATCTTGAAATATATTTCCACAATGAGAGAGTACATGTATTATGTATGCGGGTACACTTATGAGACTGTTATTATCTTTTCTAAGTATATTATGCATTAACAATCGAGCAAGTTTCAAACAAGATTACTGGTTAGCGAAATTCGATCAAAAGTCACATTCGAATTTCAGGTTTAAAGGAATCGTGAAGAAGCAAAGTACAGAAAGGAATTTAAAGTTTCACGAATGAATAACAAACGAGAAAATAAACATAAGTCAGCATGTGTAACGTATTAAAAATTCAAACGAGTATTCCAAGCCGCCACGAGGCGCCTTCACTTGTGGAGGTTATGTAAGTAGAAGCAACAAGTTGCACGGTACCTTTGACACGGAAACGTTGTCCATTTTAACGCAGAAGTGCAGGAGAAGTCGTACGTCTTAATGGAGTGGCCGACAGTCTTGCAATTTCAAGGAAAATCACTTCACTAACAGAAAAGAAACGAAAACGAACGCAGTACATGTCAACGTCGGGCTTACTGCATTCCACAGCCGTTGCGCGCTGTTAGTTCCACTGACGCTCCTAGATAGCGCTAGTCATCGGTGCAACTGGCCGCTAAAATTTAAATCGTATCACCAGCTATAAATTCACTTTAAAGTTGCATAAACGTGACGTTTAACATATAAATAGATGCGTGAGTTTATTTGAATGTTAAACTTAAAATATCTCGTATAACATTCCAACATCATTTAGACCGAATGACCTATTTGTTTTTTTTTCTTTTTAATGAGTTGGTATTCAAATTTGTTGAGAGAAAATATCGTAGGACTTAAATTAAGCTATTTTGATGTGGACAACGTTACGATACATTGGATTAAAAATAAATTGCTAGTAATTGATATAAATAAGTGCTTTTGGATGTTAATACTTTCTTAATACTATTATTAATTTTGATATCTTTCTAAACGAATGACCTATTTGTTTTTTTTTTCTTTTTAAGGAGTTGGTATTCAAATTTGTTGAGAGAAAATATCGTAGGACTTTAATTAAGCTATTTTGATGTAGACAACGCTACGATAAATTGGATTAAAAATAAATTGCTAGTGATAGATATAAACAAGTGCTTTTGGATGTTAATACTTTCTTAAGACTAATATTAATTTTGGTATCTTTCTATGCGTCGTATCATTCAAGTTTAAATATTGCAAATTCGATAAAATAGCAGCCAGAATGTTAGAATTGTATGATGCGAACGATATCTAGCAAATTTTCCAGAATCCTCTGCATGAGCCAGCCGTTGGAATTTTCGCGAGCGCAAGTCGCCGATCATCATCTGAATCCCAAATTCGCCGATTGAATTCGTCGAGGTCGGGAAAACAATCCGTAAACCGAGAGTTTGTTGCGATCTACGGGGGTGGTAGTCGAACTTTCGTCGAACGGGTTCGTTGCTGGGTTTGCGGACGGAGGGGAATGAACTTGTCCGCAAAACTTGTCCGCCTGGGCAACTCGTAATTGATTTAAAGAAGTGTTCAAACAAGATGCCGCGCTTCGCGCCTCATAATGTACCGAAATATAGATTCGTCAACGTGAGACCAGTTAAACGACCGTGCAAGCAGCGACAGAAGAAAGCGAGAGATTATTCGTGGTCCACGATTAATTTTATTAATTGTTGGTGGTGTGAGAGTAGATGTTAGATTATGGGTGGAAGCAAGAAATAAAATAAGAATATAGTTTTATATTAGGTTGTCCTAAAAGTTTCTTCCATTTCATTAATAGGTAATACATACAGAATATTTTTAACCGACTTCGAAAAGGAGAAGATTACTCGATTCGACATGTATTTTTTCTTTTTTTTTTTTAAGGTATGTTCACCGATTACGCTGAAATGGCTTGACCAATCGGAATGAAACCTGTTGCATCTTGTAGTGCATGTCTCCGCGGTGATCCCATTATCAAGATTTTTCGCGATTTGTCATTTGTTACCTGTTTTTTTTTTTTGCAAAAAACAGAAAAATTTTGTCTTGCTTCCTACTCCGAGACGGATGGACCAATCGGATTGAAACTTCTTGCATCTGGAAGAGCATTTGCCATTTGGTTTCATAACAAAACATTTGTCCTTGTCTTATTTGTCACCACTTTATATCACTTTTTATATGTCTAATGTTACATTATTGAATTGCGTACGATTCATTTTGCTCCATTACTGTTACAACATTAGCATCTAAGAAATTTGTATGTCTATTTATATAAACACTGCTATACAAAATAACTGTGTGCAAGTCACGAAAGAAACTTTTGGGACAACCTAATATTAAATGATATTTTTTTAATCACTTAGAGGCTCAGAGAAGTAGTCGCCTTCACCATCGAGGTTGTCTCTACTAACTGACACCTTAAGCGTCGAACTCAAGTTTTCGGCACGGGTGTTTATATTAACAGGCTTATAAGAACTTTTAAGAACTAAAGAGCCGCGAGGACTTCAAAGAAGAAATGCCAGATTCATTTTTGTTATCGGACTAAATACAATATTTAAATCCAATTAATTCAACAGTAGATGTACCGAGGCGTAGGACTCGTGTGGTAGGCTAATCTATACAGGGTAGGTCGATTTTTAAACTTTTTGAAAATTTAGAAGTTTTTAGAGGAATTAGTTATTTACCAAAAAATGTATACGTACATTTCATCTGAAATTGTAAAGCTGGAAAATATCGTTCAATAACAGTGCCAAACTCCTTCGGTTCTAAAATTAATAGTTTGTATTTCTCACGTCCAATAAGCACCTCTAATTAGTAACATCCCCCTCTAGGCTTGCTCCGCATACCCCCCACAACCCTGATCACCATCTCCTTCGGACACCTCTGACCCCTCGAAGCGGGTCGCGTTGTATTCCACTTCGACTTTCTTTGAAAGCTTTCCAGGACACCGCAGGGCACCATTCTGCTGACGTCAAAGGGAGACTGTCCCTCTCCCCCTATTTTTCACCTCCGATAATACCCGCGCAACAGAATTGCGCGGAGTTATCCAAGCCCTCCGGGGCAGAATTGAAGCGAGAAAAAGAATGTTTGGCGAGGATTACGTCAGCAGTGGAACTCTGTGAAATTCTATTCCTCCGCAGTACACGGGAATCGACGAATTGATCTCCTTCCCCTCGTTGCGTTGTCGCCAGGCCAAGCGCTTTTGACACTTCGCGCGGCGTATTTTCGATAATCCAGCGACACGTTAGTTTCTTTTGTTAGCCGACGCTTCGAAAGTCTGCGATCGACTACCGAACCGGACAACGCCAGGAGTTTTCAACTGGCAAAGAAGGAAATGGGGGAGGAATATAAATCGATGGAGCGAGCAGCTTTGTACGAATGTTCTCGTTTTGTGGTCGGCCATCACACCTGTGCCCCAAGGGGCTCCGCGGGCGAGAATAAATGGGATTCGATCGAAGACTTAATCATCCACCTTCGTTGAAAGGGACGTCTGGGACAAAACGATGCAGAGATCAACGGGAGAGCTATTGATCGCCTAGTGGGACGTATTTGTCCAGGTTCTTTTTGGCCCGTGGCACTTGTATGAATAATGCGCGATTCTTTGCTGATCGGTGTCTTGGAACGTAAGGGGCTCTTATTGAGGGCGAGTCTGGTCCGGCTTATGTATTTTTCTAATGCATATAATTTCCAGATATAATTAATTTTTGTTATTGAAACTTTTTTTACATATGAAGGGACGTTCAAAGAAGAAAATTTGACAGTGTAGATTTAATTTGAATGTATACATATACAGGGTGTTCAGGCTATTACTAGCCAGCTTTTTTCTCGTAAATGGTACGTATGACAAAAAAGTGAAAGAGGAAAAAGTGATACTATTATTTATGTGCAATGTAACCAGGTAGATAAATCTTTCGTATTTAAACTCTTTTCTGAGAAATGAAGGTGACTTTCAGTTTTTTAAATGGAATGGTATATTTTTTATACAAAAATATGGTAGAGTATCGAATTCTAAATAAAAAAGTGTTGACCTTTATTAGCTCTAAACCTCATAGGTAACGAGTAATTTCGTAGGATTACTGAACCAGACTCCCCCCTTAATTTGAAGATCCTGATTTACTTGGGAAATTAGCGTAGTTGCATTGTCCAAGAAATTGGTGGGATGTCATGGTCGAGAACTGGTGAAACAGATCACTATTGTGGATTGGACTGTTAACCCTTTTGATCTGGCTATTTTCTATTCTTCTATTTGGATTATATTTGTTTTTAGAAATTAATTATATTGAAACAGAGTTGGCTATGAATCAGGAGGAGTAGCCAGATAAGAGGGGACAATTTACCCCTGCAATTCGTGCAAGTCTCAATTGTAATTTAGCCAATGACAACCAGAAATTTTCACTGAAACATACAATTAGTCCCACAGGTATTCGTGGCCCATATTTCTGTGGAAGAAATTTATCTAAAGTATTGTACAAGTTTGATGTCTCCAAATAAATGTTTCATTATAAATATGTATACAATTATAATGAAAAATTTATTTGTCAACATCAAACTTATCATTTACTCCAGACAAATGTATTCGATACACATAGAGGATACGAATACGTATAAGATTGTTTGTTTGTATCCTTCTAGGGTCGAAAAAGAAACTTTGAAACAGACTTGATAGACTCGAATAGATTTCTTTGAAATAGATGCAATTATCTTGGCCCTCCACTGCAAGCCAACGTCCCTCCAACCCTTTGCACTCCTAAAATATTGTTTAACAATGTTGGATACTTTGGGCCCATGACGACTCGAAGTCTAAGACTCCGACTGTCAAAAATAAACCAACACCGGAAAAAGTCTCTTTGAGTTAGTTTATGACCTAAAAGAGAAAATCAGCAGACCTTTTTCTGAGACAAGAGGGCACCGATAGTTTTCATTGCATTTTTCCACTGACGTCGAAATACTCAGTTCGATCGTAGTCTTCTTGAGAGCAACATCGCAGCTCCTAACTTTCTGGTCGAAATAAACAATGTCTTATAAAAGGGAATAACTGAGTGATAATCATTTTCTAACCCCAATAACCAATAGATGTTCCTTCTGAGGCACAACCCAAAATCCAAGAGCTAGTGAAATACTCGAGTGGAATCTCTCCGGTTGGTCCACCTCTGCGTCGCGCGGTTAAGAAAATGATTTCCCAGGGAAAGACGGGGTCCCTTTAGTGCGGGCAAACGAGAGCCCCTTGTCCTGGAAGCGACCAGCAGTTTACGAAACAGAACCCAATTTCTGGCGTTCGTAATGAGTGCCATTGTTGTCGTCGCTATCGTCCTCCTCCACCCCCTTTGTGTCCGAGATTGAACGTCCCTCTTGCGAGGATGCAGAACGATACCTTCACGCGGTTTCGGAGGCCGGAAAAACCTCAGGATTACGAGAACATTCCAGATGGTAACGAGATAATAAAACCACCACCTTTGTACTTTTGTGGTGGATTTCTTGTCCTCTGAAGCTTTTTCTCCGTCGTGACTGCAAACCTTTATCGTTGGCTTTGTTCCGCGTTCTCTTGCTCTCTTCGAATCCTCTATGGGAGCCTTTCGGCGGGGCTGTGTTTAGAAGATGAACAATCGTTTCTTGCTTTGGAAATGGATATATTTATAATAAATTCTTGATAGTCGGTAGTCAGACTCTATATATACGTTTTGTATTTAAGTCTATTTCTCTGTACTTAAGAGGTATCTTCTCCAAGTCCAAAGTACTAATTAATAGAATATATATGTAAAGAAAGGAGGCTTTCTTCAAGTCAAATTGGCCGCGGTTGTTGATTAGCTCAGCGTGTCCTCTGATGTTATGTATATGTCGCAGAAAGATGATAAAAATGGAGATTTGATCAAATCCCTAAGGTAGATGATCAATTCACGGAAGATGTTAAAATAACAACCCACACAGCTCTATGTTTCGCTTGTAACCACTCCCCTTTAAAACTAGACACAAACCTAATCCAATCAGGCGAATATTACACAACTCGATGCTAGATTTAACACACATACGTCAAATTAATATAATTATTTATTTATTTTATTACCTCGCGAGATATTATCCCAGCGTCTTGTATCTCTTAATCTAGTAATATTTCGGTTCTACCTTAGGGATTTGATCAAATCTCCATTTTTATCATCGTCCTGCGACATATACATCGATGATGTAAGAGAGCACATGGGCAAAATCGAAATATTCGAGTGACAGTTTTAATAGTGAAAGAATAATAAACAATAAATAATAGACCCGAGAACATTTAAGGAGAATAGACTTTAATTGTCGTTTCTCTTCCTTCTAGGTAATAGTAACTATTTTGTATATTTGTAAATATTGTATATATTATGTGTATGTAAAATATAACCTCTTCCTTTTAGAGCAACACAGTTCATCTATTTTCTTGGAAAGTTCTAATTATTAACTTTTGTCTTCTATATATTACATACAATGTATATGTATATATTTCTTGTATGTTTTTTTTTATATATATTAATGTACTCTATAAATCCATAAAATCCACAGTCTATATGGTAGTAATTTTATTTTCATTTTTAAAAAATTACCAAGTATCTCGTTCTATAATTTTCTTTGCACAATTCCGAAGAAAATCTACAAATGACCAGAAAATGAATATTTAAAAATCCATAAGCTATAAACTCCAATCCAATAAGACCTAATTCGTTTCATTTCCTTACGCACCGTTGAAGAAAATCTGCAAACGATCAGAAACTGATTATTTAAATATTCACAAGCTATAAATCTACCCCAATAAGCCTTAATTCATTCCACCTAAATACCATTGCAAGGCCAGAGATAAAACGAAACCTAGATTGGAACCATAATATTCGAAAGCGATTTGGAGTTCCAGTTAACCCACCTAGGTCAACCAAGTCGCGACGATGAATGGGAATTCCATCGACATTCGCCAGCGATGATAGTTCTTTTGCCCAGAGTTGCTGGCGATCGATCACCAGTCTCGATATAGATCTCCCCTATCGACTTAAAAGTTTCAAGTGGATTTGAAACAAACGCCGCGGAAAACGTTTTGCCCGCACGAAGTTCTGGCCTCGGGCGCGGCGCTAATTTTTCACGTAGCGTTTTTCCACCGTCGAATGCAATTGGAAGTCATTTTTCGTTACCGATGGCAATTCGATCGCGAAACAGGTCACTGTTTTCGCGTATCTTGGGACCGTCGCGCAAATGTTTGCGCGCTGGATTTTGTTCATGCGGGACCAATTTTTCAACATTCGATATTTTTCCAATCTCTATCAAGTGTTGGATGCACGATACCACTGGAGAGGGTTTCATTTTTTTCGATGATTGTTGCGCGATTAAATGTGACCCTGCCGCGGAACTTTACGGGAATCGAAAAAACTCGAAAACGCAAACTACCTCGCGGGAAATTTCGATGGAGACCGCGGAAAGTAATTATTTCTGTTTTTGTTTGAACGGATCCGGTGGTCACGACTAGAAAATTTCCTGATAGTTGATCGTGACATGAATTGTCAGTCAGATATGAATTTAATCCTACGAGAACTAACAATGTCCCTTTATCAGGATCTTCCTTAAGGCGCTTGGAACATCAAAAAATGAAAAAAAATCACATTAAAAAAAATTTTTTTTATTAATATTTAAGCGATTCTGAACAATGAAAATTGAATTTAAAGCACTAGAAATGGAAAACAACATTTCTTTAAAAAAAAAATGGAATTTTTTTTCACAAAATTTCTTTTTTTCCCACAAAAAAAGTTCGACGACACGAACTTATTAAAAAAAACGCGACAAAACTGTAAAAAATATAAGGAAATACAACTGAAAACTTTCTCGAAGAGAAAACGACGACAGTAAAATTTGCGGAAGACCAGAGACGCGGTTACCTTGGTCACAGCCATAGGGTATTGTTTTCTAGGGTAAAGAATACAATAAATTTCCGAAAAAGCTAATCGATTTTGATAAACTTAACAAGGCGACGAATCCCGTTCGATTATCGAAATAAATATTAATTTATATCGATAATCAAACGGGAAATAGAAATGTTTAGTTTTTTGCATCTTCTGAAAACCTAGATTTTTGGTATAAAGGTACACTTTTCTCAGAAACGGGTAAGCCGATATTTGACACGTGTTTTTTGATAGTTCGGCCTAATTTACACCGAGGATTTTTTCAATATTTTGATTCCAAAGAAAATGATCGCCGCGCAAACCTATAAATTTTTTTTTCAACTTTACACGTTTTAAAAAAATTAATTATTTGGAATTTCTAAAAAAACCTCGGTTTTTAAAAGAAAACATTTTTTTACCACTTGTAGTGCTCTAAATTCAACTTTTTTTTGCGTAGACTTGTTCAGAATCGCTAAAATTTTAATTAAAAAAAAAATTAAAAAAAAAAAATGATTTTTTTCATGTTTTGATGTTCCAAGCCCCCAAAGGAGTTAGTCGCAGTCAGGAAAATGGAACGGACAGTTTCTTGTGTGTGTGTGTGTGTGTTTTAAGGTATTAAATACAAATTTTTAATAATGAAATGTAAATATATTACAAAGTATGTCTTAAAGAACTTCAAAAGAATTTTTGTTTTAAAAAAAGGTTAATTCATTTCGTCATAACAGGCGATGGCGTGGGTGGCCACTTGGTTTGCGGTGAGCAAGATTTCTTCATACTGGTGCACCTAAAAATGAAACTAAAGGTAGATTTAGAAAATATATTAGAGTAACGGGTCCCTGATCGAAGGATTTTTTATTTTCTTGTATACTTTTTTTTTATCCTGTATTGAATCGCTGAATTTTAATGAAAAAATTGGAAATCAACTTCAAATGTACGCCATCTTGTTTTAAATTAATTTTTTCCAAAATCCTTCGTTCAGGGACCCGCTAGACTAATCTATTTTCGTAATTTACCTTTGTTTTTGTTTTCAGATAAATGTAGAGAAATCTTGCTCACCGCAAACCTACGTTTTTAAATCATCGTCTACGTCATCGGCTGTTATGACGATATAAATTAATGTTTCTTAAAACAAAAAATCTTTTTTAGTTCTTTAAAACATGCTTTATAATATACTTAATTGTGATTTATGCAAATTATTATTTAATAACTAAAAAAAATCACAAAGAAATGTCGCTTTTCCTCTTCCTCACTGCGACTAACCCCTTAAACACGAAGTTTTGAAAGTAGCAAACAAATGAATTTAATCACGAGGAAAGTACCGTTAACGCTTGCCACCTGCAAAGTTTGCCAAGGTTGTGTAATACGTGCCTGTCTTCTGTTTCAGCAAACTTCCCGAAAACGATCGAGAATCTTGGGGATTCAATCTCGTCGGAACTCGACGGTAATCCTCCGTTATGGGTCACCAGGCGGCCAAGCACGCACGGCGAAGACGTTTATATAAATAACGCGAAGATTCTCACGGAGCAGAGCAATTTCCAGTCGAAGGTTACAGTTGGAGGCGACGTGAAGACACAGGTGAGCATCAAATTCGCCAGTTTGATCACGGTAGTGCCGATTAAGGGTGGGAAACGAAAAAGGATGAAAAATGTGGTCGAATTCTTCCTCCGCGCTAAGATTTTGCTGGTCGCGGTCGTCGCGGTTAATTTAATTGCAGATTACTTTTTTACGAGCGTAATCTCGCGAGTAATCGGGTTAGTTTATATCCTGCTTTGCGTGAACACGACTTTCGAGCGTTCAACACGATTTCCACGGAAGTGGAGTCCGAGAACTTGGCACGCCGCACTTTGCTGAGCTTCGCACCCTCTAACGAGCTTTTAATGAGCAGCACGGGATGCTCAGGCCACTGATTTGCTGCGTTGATGGATATCGCTGGCGTCGATAAGCTCCGTCGAATATTGTTTCGCCTCCTGGGTAGGAGTATACTTCTTATCGATGGAAAATTCAACGTGGAAATGGGAAACTGGGATGCAGTTAGTATCGCCTTCGAAGCGGTGGAGTATTACTGGTGTATTACTCCATCTGCAAGAAAGGCGCCTTAGGATCGTGATCGAAAGCCCTCAAAATAGATGTTTCTAACACTGTAGGTCTCTCTGTCTGTGATATCCGTCGATAATGTACAGAATTCTGTCGGTAAGAGATTGCTAAGTAGAACCTTAGAAGATTTATTGGCAGAGAGCTCTACGTTGCCAGCAGGACAACCTGCCTTATCAGCAGAGAGCTCTACATTACCGAGTCTTATCAATGGAGTGCTCCACTATTAAACAAATTTAAAAAATTCCTCGAAAAAACTTCAATTGGCCACGGAGGTTTGATACTAGAGTCAAACGAAAATGTTTCCTCTCGGTGTCCCGCTATCTATCATCAGTTTCCTTCGGATGATCGCCAGAGAATATGGAGCTTGTTTCGACTTGTTGAACGAATGGTTCAGCTCGAGTGTGATCTCTTGATGAAAATTGCCAGGCTACGACTAATCTCTTCGATGGGGTCCGTAGATCAATCCTTTCCTCTCCCTTCCCCCCTTCTCCTTCCTTCATCTTTAGATGGTATTAGGAAAACTTTTCTCATCCACTTAACGCGCAAGTTGCGTCGCCAACCGATACTTGCTGCTTGTCACTAGAGCACGAGTGTATCGGGTCATAATTAATGGAAACAAAACTAGGCTAATCGAATAACTTTTCAGTTTCTGAAGAAACTTTTTTTCGCGAAACGGAATATGTTTCTTAGAAAGTGATCTATTACTTTGTGAAAATGAAGATAATTCAAAAATTGCTCTAGAAAGCTACAGTGGGTGTAGAAAGTGTTCGTACACTGATCAATTTCCAAAAAAACTATGTAAAATTGTAATTTATTAACTTATTCTACATATTCTCGTAAATCTCTAAAATAGATAGAGTACAAAAAAGAATAGCTATTTATGTAAGTTGCGAAATTAACAAGAAGAAAACAATTAATCGATAGAAATAGTGAAGCAATAAGTATTCGCACGACTGTTTAATTTTTAAGACTTCATTAATAAAAAAGAAATTTACATTAATTTATAAGTATATAATACTTTCTTCGTAGGATTTCCTTTTGATGTTATAATAATTGCAACTCGTCTAAGCATTCAATTAACTAAATTGTTAGTTATTTCACAAAGTCTCACCGATAGAGCCTAGACCATAATCTTTCAACCACAACACGTAGACGTCTCCTCGATTAACATTCAATCTCTGAAAACATCAGCCAATTGTCTTCCAAGGGTGCCTCTCCCAAGGCAAATTCGCGTCAGAGGAATTTTGAAAGCGTCCTCGAAAATGCCACGAACAAAGGTGTCCTTCCCATTGACTAAATGCAACCAGTCGAATTTTCTCACGCAACTTCGCCCCGCCCGTCGCGAAACTATTCGCCAAGTATTCGCCTAACGCCGCTGGCTGATTTTCAATTTACCCAGAGCAGGACGGGGCCGCTTTCAAACTCTCGCGCTCTTTCAATCCGTTCCTTCGCCTCTTCGCAGGGGCGAGGATAGAGGGAACGCTATTTTTCCCCTCCATTAACCGTAACTCTTTAGACGATCCCGCTGGCGGGTGGGCGCAGTTATTCGAATTGGAATTTCTTTAAATTGTTAAGAAACAGGGAGTAGGCTGCCTGCCCCGAGCAACGCGTAGAGGAAGCGCGTTCCAGCGGCGTCTAATGAGATCAAAACCCCGCGAGCTTTCCAGATTAAAAACGTCGCTGCCTCGGCGACCTCGTGGCCTCTCTGTACCGCGTTCAATACCCTAGGTACATGTGTGTGGCAGCTTTGTCCGGCGGGCGCGCAATTAAGGGGGTCGACTCAATGGCTCGAAAAATGGCTCATCTTCGGGAATACTTTTAAGGAAATTTTTTTAAAGCTAAGTCCAAGGTTCGCTGAACTATGTTTCCCATAACAGCAATAGTTAGAAATCGTTCAAATTTAATAATATTGTTGCGAGCACCCTTTGCATGGATCCAAGGCCTGCTGGTGCTCGCGACCGGAATAAGTAGACAGCGAGAAGAAGGTGATCAAATCGATCGCTTGTCAAGCTGTCAGATTCGAGCAAGACGCCTTTCAGTGGAGACGTTCCGAAACTAGCATATAAATTTAATTACATTTCTATTGTACAAACCCTGTTACATAAAGTTACTTGTTACTTATTAAAGTTCTCGTTAGACCTAAACATAACAATATCAACAGGGCCTTCCTGTAGCCTTCCAGAAACATTGAGAGAGTGCTAAGACCTCAGAATGTAGTCCAAGATTATTAGTGCCGTCACTGCAATGCCATATGGACTCTACTGACGCCACTACTCGGTCATGTGCAACCTAATAACGCAACTATTCGGTCATATGTAACCTAATAGCGCCATTAAGGGGGTTCACCTGTGAAACGTTTAATTTTCAAGGCAATTTTCAAGAATTTTTTGTAGGAAAAGTACTATTGGAATTATGATAATTTTTTGTTTATTTGGTTGATCGACGCTTTGACATTGATTTTTGATTTTATCACAATGTTTCGATATGTGGATATTCCTAGACGGCGCTTTAATGAGATCACTTAAAAGTAGAAGAGTTATTCGCCGAGCAGGATTTGATCGTACTTGATCATCTGACACAAAAAAGTAAAATATCACTTTTTTTATAATTACATTTTGAAGATACTGACGATTAGATATTCACAAAATTTTGAAAATTGTTAATAGTGTGGCGTATAAACTAAAAAATGATATTTTAAGGTATCTTTTCCCTTATCTAATGGCTAATAGACGTTGGAAAAAAATTGTTTTAACATGAATCTCGCCGCCAGTACCACCAATTACGTTTGAAAATTGTAAAAAAAGAATTTCATCCCGATTTATGTAATGGATTTTGCGCAATGCTGTTCGCCATTTCCAAAAACATGGTTTCGAGAAAAACGCGTTTAAAGTTTCAAGACGTAAAAAACGTTTATTTAAAAACATTCACGTTTAATGTTAAAGCGTCGATCTACCAATTAAAAAAAATTATCATAATTGCACTAATAATTTTACTGCAAAAAATTCTTGAAAATTGTCTTGAAAATTGCCTTGAAAATTAAACGTTACACAGGTGGACCCCCTTAAGGAAGATTTTCTTAGCTGGAAGGTTCAAGAAAACCATTACCGTATAGAGGATGGATCCTAACATCATGAAGAGGAGGGTGTTGCTTGGAGGAGATGTAGGGTTCTTTTCCCAGTTTTTAATGTATCAGTTGGATTTAGGAGTTGTCCTTAATTTTTGGAGACACGTTAGATATATGCTTAATCTGAAAGGAGGGAAGCTATGATATGTCTAGCTATGATACGTCTCACCACTAGGTTTTCTTCAAGTTTAATTTCTTTGGAACTCAAAGTGGTAATAAAATGATTATCGTTGAGGCAAAGGTGACCCGATTCTCAAATCTCAAATTAGAGATCTCATTCGAGAAGTCAATATAATCTTAGTATTCGTGGCAATAGAATGTTAAGAAAGCATTAATAATATCAACATAGGGCCTTCCTGTAGTCTTCCAGAAACATTGAGAGAATGCTAAGGTCTCAGCATGTAGTTCAAGATTATTAGTACCGTCACTGCAATACCATGTGCATTCTACTGACGCCACTACTCGGTCATATGCAACCTAATAACGCAACTACTCGGTCATATGCAACTTAGCAGCGCCATATTGCTCCCCAGCGCCACTAGTTCACCTGCTCGCCGTGCTCAGCTCACCCAGCGAACCTTTTAACGAATAAATACCTCGCTTCCTCCAATTTTTATGATCATCACCGTCCCGTAGATTCTCAGGTTAGCGAGTAATCTCTCTCCCCGTTGCCTCCCTTCCGTTTATCTTGGAGTTCTGCACGCCTAACGCCGTTCTACTCACTGAATAACGAAGGCTGGTGGAATTTCCACCGAGTATTTTTTCGCAGGATCCGCGGGCGTGTGATGTAGCTCGCAAGGGGGGATCGTAAACGTTAACGGTGCCGGGACTTTGTCAGTTATTACAGTGCTTCCGAGTTGATCTCGCGTTCCTCCGAGGATATACTTCCGCGCGAACATGAAAGCGGAACAGGAGAGAGGCGGGGGAGGGCGGTTTAAATAAGCCGGAAAATATTTTTATACGATTCCGCGCTGTCTGCTCCTCCTGGTAACTGGGTGTATTCCCTTAATATTCTTGGCTCCCATGGCGATGCTCGTTCCGACACTGCAGCTTTAGCGCAATCCAATTTCGCCTTTTTAAACAGCGTTGGCAATAATGAAGCAATATAATATTAATGTTGGATGGAGCTCGAGAGACGATCACCGCTGGCACTTTCGGAGCTGGAGGATTTTAACTGATCGTTAAGTACGTACTAGGAACAATGTTTTCACGAGTTCTCGGCCGGTGGCCCACTGATTCAGAGGATCGACGGTTTTTAACCTTTTTAGATATGGGAGTATGCTGTTGCGAGGATATAAAAGTCTTCTTTGGGAATTAATTTCGAGGGAGTCAGCCCGTGTTCGGACTTTGCCTTTTG